AACATTTTCTTGTGTTGTTTTAAATCTTTAAGTTATTGTGTAAGTTTTTGGACTTTTTTCAGCCCTCAATGCCTGCTGCTTCTTAATATCTTTTTTCTGTTGCAGAGATGCAATATATCACTGTCTAGTTCCTCTGACCGTTAACATTTTCTGGTCTATATTTATTTGATCAATACCATCTGCAAAATGGATCTAATCATAAACTAAGCATTGATCAACTAAACTTTCCTCCTTAAGATTTTCACTCAACAGTGATTTGTTAACCGAGAAACCATTCTCATGTGAGAAAGAAAGAGAAATTTTGATAATAGACCATAGATCTTGCAGTTGCCTATCATCCTTCATAATTTCACAATAAAATGTGTCCAGACCATCATCATCACTCCTTTCAGATATGAAGTCCTCAAACTTTGTGGAATAGGGTTTTATGGACATTTTATTGCAGAGTATATCATATTGTTCTTTTGCTTTGACAACACATTTCTCATCAATCCTGTTTGTATCATGTAGAACCTCCAGTAAAACATTGAAATACAATTTTCCAACATTTGAATGCATTTTAGTAATTTCTGGATCTAAACTGCTCAAAACCTTCACACATTTGTACTTGACAGGTTCCTTCTTAATAATCTTGTGTGTCATCATTTTCAGCACATTTCAACGATCTCTTAGAAAACACAGAAAATCTTTGTTGCTTACTTTCAATTCTTTTAAAACCTTTTTTGCTCCAAAACCAATATCCAAATTCTTCAGATGTACCAAGTTTTCATTAGCATTTAAATCTATTTTTAGAAACTGCTTGTTGGTGATCCGGTCATTTTTCACAAACTTTCTCATCAGGTTCATGAATAATTGAACAACTGCTTTATAAAGATAGGGTGCAAGAGGTTTGTTGCTCTGAAATTGGGTGAGATATCTCTCACTTTGTGTATGTATTGACTGAAAAAATAAAAGTTTTACTTTAATAAAGGGATCATTGAGTGCCTGTCTCAAGAATGTAGCCACCTTGCTGTCTTTCAACTTTGTACTGTTGTTTATGTATGTCTTCACAGATTCAACAACTTCTGCTGCACATTCTAAGCACTCAACACCTTGTTGAACCAAACTTTTTGGGAAATAATCTGCTTCCACTTACAGCAATATATTCAGCATGCCAAGTAGATGAGTCTTTTAGCAAATAGTACAAATTCTGTAGCAGTGGTAACAAATTCCAATCTACTACTTTAGAACCAGCTTTTACATCACCATGGACTACGTGTAAACCACAAGTTCCCATTCTCACAATGATTTACCAACATTCTGTGTCTCCATGTGATCTTCTAATTTATTCAGAAAAGTTCTGTTTACATTTGATCCGTCCATACAGATATGACAAATTTTTGCTAGATTAACATGAAGACCTGAAAGGCCATTGAGAAATGCAGAGAGAAGATCATCTGCTATACTAGGATCCAGAAAGACACTATTTAAATATCTGGTCATAACCTTATCTTTACTCTTGTCCCAGTATTTTATCACAAGATCCATTTGAGTTCTTTGAGCAACTTTGTTTAGTGATGCGTCAAAAGAGATAGTAATATTATTGCAACTTGTAACAATTTTTCTCTGAAATAATGGGCTAGGCCATAATTTATTATATAGGAAGCTTTATCTGGACACAATTGAAATTGTTTGGCTATAGCACTGTCAGGGAACATTTTTTTGAAAATGTTTTTAATATCAGAACATGAATTGAGTGACATCTTTTTCTTTACAACTGCCAATGCCCAAGTTATCTCTGCTTTTATTACATCATCTTTTATCACAAAAGATGTCAATGATCTGCTAAGAAATGTTGATTTGGTAAGAGACTGTTCATTAGTGATCTTAGATCTATCATTCACAACAGAAGCCGTTTCACACACATTTTGTTGACTATTAGAAGAGTTTGAATTTGTTAAGGTTAAAAACCTTATCAGTGAAGTTTGTTCCAATTTCAATCTTTTTATTTCAACATGACAAACTATTTGCATGTGATACTAATGCATACTTTCCATTATTACTTAATGAGAAAACTTTACAACAAATGCAGCAAAATGCTTTTGTATCATCATCTTTTACAGTTCCTAACTAGGAATTGAATTCCAGATGAATAGCTGGATCCAGTCATTGGAGATTAAACCTCATTTGTTTCTGTATCATTATAATTTAAGAATGTAGAAAAACACAAACCTTGAATAATAATATTAAAAGACAGATGAACCAAATCAGATAGCAAATTTGTAAGACTTTTGTCACAACACTACATAAAATATTCAAATGACATCCAATCCGCATCTGCATATATATTAATTGAAGTAGTGTTGCCAACTCAAAATTCAAATTTACAGATAGACATTTTAATAAAAATACCTAAATCTTATTGTTTCCATTAGAATTGTTTGATTTTTTTAGCTGGACTATTCATAAATCCACTAAATCTAACAAAAAAAAATTTGCTGATTGGCAACTCATTAAAAGATAAAAAAAAACCTGTTCCATTGCTGCCATTTTGATTTTGGTTTTGGTGTAAAAGGCCAGAGTTTTAATAATTAGTTTTAACAATTTTTATTTATTATTTACTTAATTTTACATAAAATTTCATCTTTGCATAAAATTTTCTTAAGAATGCAGACAAAATTTATTTATTTTAACCCTTAATTACAGTTCTATAATTATTTATTGCAAACCATATTTCTCACTTTTATAGCAAATTTTAATTAAACAAACTAATGTTTTCAGATATCTTAAATAGCCTTCCTCAGGTTTAACATAATTTCAAACCTGTCAATTAGAACATAAGATCTGAAACTTCAAGTTTCACTTGTGTGAGATATGACAACTCTATCACCTTTATTTTCCCAAAGAGAAAGTTAATTCTCCCAACACCAGGAAAGTCAAGGGACTAATAAGTATGTGGAAAACATGGTACAGACAGACAAAGACACCTCTTTACCACTTAACCTGTTTATTGTACAAATATGTTTACAATATAAAGTTGTCTTCGTTTTTCGTCTAAAGTTCATAGCAACATTGGCAGAATCCAGAGCAATGTTCAGTGAACAATCCAGAAAGTAAAATTTATTCAATTTCTATCAGATGTCTAGCACTAATGTAAATCACTAGTGTTTGTCCTGAGTTGGAAAAGTCCTCCTTTTGAAAGGCAAATGTTAATTAAAAGAAGGAAAAAGCAGCAGTGGCAGTGAAATGGCAGAGAGGAAATGCAGGAAAAAGCCAATGACTGAAGATGACTGGTGGTGATGGCTATGGAAGAGATGACTCTCGACAGCCTCGTGTCCTTGAGACACCGGCTTTTATCACCTTCCTGTCCCTCGATCATTTCCTGCATTGGTTTCAGACCCTCACCCACACTTTATAATGGGGATCTAATGGTTTCTCTGATTTACTTACGTCAATCAAAAATCACAGTTTGCAGGAGAAGTCATCATTGTTTTTCAAACAACGAAAAATCTGACCCTAATCCAAATGATCGATCTTGGGAGCTGTACCATCTAAACTATTTCTCAAGTTTCTATAAAATATTTTTGTTCACTCCTTTTTTTCTCTAATTAAATTATTTTATATTTTCCTATTTTAGTGAGTTTCAGGACAATTCCGAATGTCACACTTGTATTCCTATGACGTCGTAGTATTATGAAAATTGGGATTCTTAAAACTTATAGAATTTAAATAAAATAAAATAAATACAGAAATAAACATCAAATGAAATTACAATTATATGTTAATAAAATATAGAAGTTCAGTACATAAAATCATAACTACAAATCTCTTTCTTTTGCAACATAACTATAAAAATTGTTTTAGTGTTATTTTGCACAATAGATAATCAAATTTATTTTAATTTTTTAGTAATTTGCCAGCTTTTTAAATTTTAATTATAAGCAAGTTAACATTGGTTAAACTATTGGATTACCCATTGTTTTTAAAACTATAACTACAGTATATCTATTACAGGTATGATCAATGTTGCCAGTTTTTAAGCCCTAAATTTGTCAAAATCAGTGATATTTGTTACCCAACGTCATTTCTGTTAAACTAATTATTAAACTATGTATCAAAGTGCAGGAAATTAATGGAAGAGAGAGGGAGAAATATGTTTGCAGTACAGTACTTTCAAGGAAAATTGTAACAACAAATGTAAAATGATCATGCCAACCACAAGTCAGAGCCAGCATTTTACTGTAAATGTCGGGTACTTTTTATAATTTTTGTTGTGTAGTAATGTTTCAAACGTAAAAAATGATTAAATTATAAATTTTTACTGATCTATTTAGCTATTTTGAAGTGAACATTCTAATAAATTATGCTTTCAACTTTTAAAAGTTTGCAAACAAATTTTTAGTTATTTTTTATTCTAATTAACAATTTCATATTTTTATAATTGCTGAATTATTAAAATTAAAAATTAAACACTATTACATAAAAGCAGTTTATCCTGTTATTAATCCACAACTGTAAAATTATATGGCTTCAGAATGGTGAAAAAAGCCATTTCAAAACGAATTCTGGTATATTTTCTTAATAAAGATTGCAGCATTACTTCTTGCCGCCTGCAGATGGCTACGTTTGGTCAGCCATATTCAGCAAACAAAATCAACAAGACTGCTAAGGAGACAAATTCCCTGACTTTTTGACAATTTTCAACAAATTTCGACTTTCCATGACTTTTTCCGAACACTAATGAAAATCCCTGACTTTCCAGGTCCATAGGAACTCTGTAAATAAATTCTTGTAATCAATAATTCTTGCATAGCTGTTGCTGTTCAAAATATTTTCCAGGAGTTGTATATTTATTTTCATGGAAAGGGTATATCAATTATCAAAACTTATATAAAAAAATGAAATACATAAAATAATTAAAAAATCATAAATATAAAACAAAAAGTTTTAATAATCATACTTTATTACAATTATTGATAATATCAAATAGTAAAAGAACATTTTTTAAAATTTATACTTACAGATGTACTAAATCATATAACGCAATGTACGTCACTTCAAATTAGATTTTTAACATAAAATCTGAAACGATTAATTTTATTTAAAATAAGTCAAGTAAATATATCATTAAAATCAAAATACAAAAATAATAACTAAACAGTAAAAAATTTCAATACAAAACATGAAATGAGTGAAATTTAATATTGTACAGTAGACCCCCCTATAACGCTTAGATACGTTCCACGCTAACCGAAAATTACGTTGTAGGAATGATTAAATACATGAGCCAATCGCAGCCCGATAGGTGGGAACTTTACGGACTAAGGCTGTTTGAAAGGTTTTCTTCTATAAAATTAACCAATTCTAGACTAATTCGACTCAACATTTCCAAAATATGTATAATTTTTTGGGAATAATCCGTATAAACTATGCTATAAACAAAAAATTATAGGATTACTTACTGAGTGTGTACCGTTCGACTACGCCGTTGCTTAAAGCTGGTTTTCATCGCGGAACAGCACATTAAACGGCGGCCGCGATTTCTAATAACGAATTTTTCGCATAAAAATAACTTGACCTTTGGAGACATCATTAATATAAATAATTTTTATGGCCGTTGAATAAGAAGTGTTTCTTTCACAAGAAATGTATAAAATTAGTGCTGTATTAGACTTACGGTACCTAATTTACATACTGTACAGACGATAATAAACTCAACTTACTAGCCTAAAATCTCCGTAGCGTGTTGCCAGGCGGCAGAAAGCATATATATAATTATAATAAAGTTACAATAAATTAAGTTAATATATAATTATATATACAGTACCTAATTTATATATAATTTATATATAATACTAAACAGACGATAGCAAACTCAATTTAGCCGCTCTGTAGCGTGGCGCAGGGTCGGAGGAAAGTAGTTCAGCTGCTCATCCACTATTGGTCCAGACTCTATCAATCTTGTCGCGAAACGACGTTATAGGAGGTATTTTATACGAAAGTTTCTACAATTTTTTCGCTACATTATAGGAATTGTCGTTATAGGAACGTACGTTATAGGGGGGGTCGACTGTATTATTATTTCTGAAAACATAATTATTCTAATAAGAGCATATATATTTGACTATTGTTTATTTTCAGCCATCTTCAAGTAAAATGTCAAAATTTTAAAAACTTTTCTCAAAATTAAATATTTATGAAATTTAATTTAAAAAGTTAAATTTCTTTATTTTATAATAAATAAACTATTACAGAATTCCATTGTTAAACACCACATTCTAAAAGTACTCACTGCTCTTAAAGAGTTTAAAGAAAATTTATTTAAATGTTTGATCATTTAAAATCACTCTCAAATGATTTTTAAATACAAAATATTTTATAAATAAATTTGAATTTAAAAGTCATTCAAAACAAAAATCATCTGCTTTCATATTTGTACTATTTCTAAAAATGAATCTAATTAGAAAATATTTGAATTTTACATAAATTAATTTTAACGTATGCAAAATCAGTTTGAATATTAATATCTTAATTATTATATTAATACAGTAGAGCCTCGAAAACTCGGCACTCCGGATAACTCGGCCACACCCTGGCAGGGCAAAAAAAATCCTTAATTAATTAATTTTCATGATAAAGACAGCTTTATGCTCATAAAGTATTTTTCTGAGGTCTGTCTTATCAGGTAAATTACTGTACAGTGTATTCATTAATTTTCATTTTCATGTAGTAAAGGCTCTATGCCTTCATAAAAGACATACTCCTTTGTTTAAGGATATTTGGGCAGTTTATTCTTTGTTGTATTCTCAAGCAAACAATACATACAAGTATAGTACAGTATTTTCTGAGGACTCCACACTCGTACTTATTTTTTTAACGCCATTCCCGATAACCCGGCATTTTCACAAACTCAGCCACCCTTCGGTCCACATTAGGCCGAGTTTTCGAGGCTCTACTGTATTTATAAAATTACCTATATTATTATTAAATAAATTCCTAATAGAAATATTACATAGAGAAATGACTAAAGGATTTAATAATTGATTGATAGATTATTAAATCTATCAATTACTACTTAATACTCTACTTAATGCTATTATGCTGTTTTGTGTTTAGATATAAAATTGATTGATAGATTATTAAATCTATCAATCAATTTTATATCTAAACAAATAACAGCATAATACAGTAAAGTCCATTTATTCTCATCACAATATTGTTATTAGCTGCTTAATGTTATCAGAATTAGTAAGTTCCAAACATTAATATGCTTATGAAACTTCACTTATAGTAATCAGAAGTTAATTACACTTATCATTACCAGGTAAATAGGCATTTTTAAACTGTCTTTGTGCACTATCAGTCACATAATGCAGCTGATGGGAAGAAAAGAAGCTTAAAAATTCCTATTTATACAATTGTTATCAGTCTTAGTCTATGCTATAGTTAATGTCAATTGTTTTAATCATTATTTGCTTACAACACAAGTGTAAATTTCTCACTTTAATAATAATATCCTAGATGTTATTTATAACCCCTAATGCTATATACAGGAATCGCACTGCATAGTGTCAAAATCGCCAGTTGGCAATATTTTTATTAATATGGCGGTAAAATCCGTAGTTCACTTATTTCAACGTTCAGTGTGAAATTGAATCATAAAGCACCCTCTACTTAATGCTAACAAAGAGAGGGCCAGACATTTGGGTCCAAAAATCTGGTGAGCATGTAGCCTTAAACACAAACAACTCCTTGCCCAAATAATAGGACCCACTTCTCAAGCGTTTCCAAAAAATGGTGAATGGTGAGGATGTGGAAGAGTTGGTGAATGATCACAGTGAAGAACTCATCACTAAACAGCCTAGAAGTGCAACAAATGACAGATGAAGAAATTGCTTCAGATGAGGAGGGACAGGGGAGAATGTGCCTGAGATTAAGGACATCTCTATGTGGAGTAAGGTACAGGGGTTTGTGGAGAAAAATTAACCAGACAAAAATGTTTCAGGCTGTGTCTGTAACTTGTTTAAGATAATGTCTTGCCCCATTTTCGGCAAATCTTAAATACGCAGCAGAAACAAACCTCTTTGGACAGTTTTCTTGTGTGACATGGGTCCACTAACTGAAGCTGGTCTTAATGCCAAAAGACCAAGAAGGGAAGTGACCCCAGATAGTGCCTTGATATCTAAAGTTCTTATGGAGGGGGTTTTCCCTTACAAACAATAATACTGTAGCTCTCTCCCCTCCACACAGTCTTCCATATGCCAAGAGAAGTTTTCAGAAAGGTCAATGCCATGTTAAATGTTTATTTATCCTTTATATTATATCATATTCATTTTATATTAATTTCTTATTGTTTTTAGTATTAAACACTGTATTTATTCTCTATAAAATGTGTTTTTGGTATGTATTTTGGAGTGTCTACAACGAATTAATTGGATTTACATTGATTCACACGGAAAGGATTGCCTCGGTTTTTGTTGGTTTCGGATTTCGTCAATTGTTTTTGGACAGATTAACGACAAAAACTGAGGTATTACTGTATTTGAGATACTGAATATTTCATTAATAAAAATTAACTTTGAATGGGCTACTATATAAATACTTCTAATACTGTGCCATTCATATAGTCACAGTAACATATCCAGAAGTACACAACGAAGGAAAGACAGACTAACTCAAAAATTAGAAATATTTGAATAATTAATAGGTACCATTTATTAATACTACATGATAATTATATTTTAGATGGTCTGGTAAACCAATTTGCCATTGTAAATGTTTTAGAAACAATGTTTTGAAGTTCAAAACAATTACTGTATATTTCAATTTTTTGGTGTCAATAAGAATCCCCCTTGTGAACCCACCACTGCATACACATAACACCACTAGTTTAATTTATGAGAAGGAAAAAAGCAGACTAGACCCTAAATGTTTTTGAATTCTTGTTTTCTTACATAAAGATCTGCAGTAGGTGAGAATGAAGAGTTTTATTTGTTAATCTATTATAACTGAGATAAGAGTACCTTAAAAAAGACTAATCTCACAAGTCAAAATTAAAAGTTTAAAATTTTATCTTGTAAAATTTAGGAAATTGTTTTATATTTTTACTTATTGTATTACTTTATTAATATATCAAAATAAGTAAAGCAAGTTAAATAATAAATTATTAACTAAATAAATTATATAAGATAATTTAGTTCACTAATTATCTTATATATTATAATTATCTAATAATTAGTGAACTAAATTATCTTATATAATTTAAGTATTTGATATAATAAGTATTTGGAGTATTGAGATCTGGTTAACATTCAGATTTGAAAAAAGCAATATTTGCTCATGTCTACTTTTCATATATCTTATATCTCAAAATCTAGTAAAATTTAATAATTATTATGTTAGTACACATATATATTTGATAACTGGTAAGATAGCTGATGTTATATTTGCAAATGTAAGAAATAAAGACAGAACAATCAGCTTTAAAATGAAACACACTTAAAACTTCATTGACCAGATGATGAAGGGGGTATATTCTTGGATATTCAAAAACTATAGATAATAGCATTTTCATTATCACTATCACTATTAGCTTTTTATTTATTTGACATTATAAATTCAATTAATGCATTTAATTACTATATATGCATTTTTTGCTCTAAAGTTAATACCGTGTGTTTCTATTTAGTAGCAAACCTTTCTTCTTGAAAGCTGAACTGAAAATGGAAAAAGGACAAGGCTACATATTTTCCTTCCATAGAACTAATCCTTAATGACTACAGTTTCTTATCTTGTATTACTAAACTGTTTCAGCCGATTGCAGAGACAGAGTTTACGTTAAACAACGTTTATCAACAGAACGGTGAAAAGTTAATACTGTGTGTTTCTATTTAGTAGCAAATCTTTCTTCTTGAAAGCTGAACTGAAAATGGAAAAAGGACAATGCTACATATTTTCCTTCCATAGAACTAATCCTCAATGACTACAGTTTCCTATAGACAGCCTATAGTTTCCTATATACAGCCTATAGACGTTGGCCGGCTGAACCGCGGTTTAAAATGCGTTGCAAAGACGACAATCATCTATTTCTGATCGTTCTCTAGACAAACTTCAGCAAAACATTGGCTCTTACTTACTTCACTATTACTCTCCTGTTTTAGGAGTCGTTCGGCCAATCAGGTTATTTGTTTGTGACGTCAGAAATGGTCGCCAGCTATATTCCAAAAGCTTCCAGAAATAAAATCTTAAGGCTGTCAAAACCATTGTTCATCAATTAATGACAATCCTTTTCCATTTCAATATTTAATTTCGTCGCCAATACGGTTTAAAATATGAACAAATCCATATTTAGAAAATTTATACCAAATTTGAAATTCATCTTCAGAATAGATTTTTAAGGACATCTTATTCGACATCTTATTACCGTCGAAATGAATAACTTTAAATATTTAATATTAATATTACATTTTTTTATATCTATAAACAGATTTCTGTAATTATTAAAATTGTCTCGTAACAGTAAAATGACTGAAATGCATTAACGTTTTATAACCGACACGATACTCGAATTGTAAATAAATGCATCTGATTTAAATTAATTGAAGTTTTAAGTCTTCACCCATTTGAATATCAAAATTGGAACATTTAAAACAAATTTAAAGTACGAGGCGTGTTTTTAAAGTAAGTACCGTTTTGAAATATAAAAAAAACAAGCAAACATTTTTAACAAAATTTTTATTTATGTGAAAGTCCATATTTTACACTACTTTTCTACATAATTCCCATTAATATTGAGACACTTATCGTATCGTGGGACCAGCTTTTGTATTCCATCCTCAAAGAATGTTGCCGCCTGATGAGACAACCAGTGCAGAACGGTCGTTTTGACTTCGTCGTGATTGTTATGGCGCTGCCCTGCCAGATGCTTCTTCAAATGCAGAAACAAATGATAGTCACTCGGCGCTAGGTCGGGACTGTATGGAGGGTGGTCTAATTGTTCCCAGCCAAATGATGTGATTAGGTCTTGAGTTTGATTTGCCGTATGTGGACGAGCATTATCGTGGAGCAAAACGACACCCTTGCTCAGTAAGCCCCGCCTTTTGTTTTGTATTGCACGGCGCAGTTTTTTTAAAGTCTCGCAGTATGCAGCTGAATTGATTGTTTCACGATGAGGCAAAAAATCAACAAGCAACACTCCGTATCTGTCCCAAAACACCGTGCACATGATTTTCTGAGCAGAAATTGTTTGCTTGAACTTGACTTTCCTTGGAGATGATGAATGTCGCCATTCCATGGATTGTTGCTTTGATTCCGGTGTAACGTAGGCTACCCACGTTTCATCGCCTGTAACAATACGACTTAAAAAATCATCTCCTTCGTCACTGTAGCGCTCAAGAAAAGTCAATGCACTGGCCAAACGTTTGGTTTTGTGCTCCTCCGTCAACATTTTCGGCACCCAACGGGAACACAACTTCCGATAATTTAATCGTCCGGTCACAATTTCATAGAGAACACTTCTTGAAACTGCAGGAAACTCTTTAGATAAAGATGAAATCGTGAATCGTCTGTTCTCTTTCACTCTACAGTCCACTTTTTCAATCAAATCGTCGATAATGACTGAAGGTCGCCCACTTCGTTCCTCATCGTGAATGTTTGTGCGGCCATTACTAAAGGCCCTAACCCATTTTCGTACCATTCCTTCACTCATAACGCTTTCACCATAAACTTCACTGATTTGGCGATGAATTTCAGCCGCTTTCGAGCCTTTAGCACTGAGAAAACGAATAACGGCACGCACTTCGCAGTCGGCGGGATTCTCAATGAGCGGCGGCATTTCAATAACACACAAACAACAGTAAACACAGTCGACTGGCTCCGTAATGGCGTTTGTGGCTTCCCAACAGATGTAGGTACACAGCGCGCATGCGCTAAGTGCCGACTGCAGCGCTCCAGCGGCGTTATATTAAAACGGTACTTACTTTAAAAACACGCCTCGTATTTAATTTTGTTGTTTTTGCTCCAAGCAATTAATTAATGAATAATTTTGTCGATTCGTACTGTTTACAACATTTATGAAAGGAACAATATCTGTTTTTATCTAAACTTTTCCACGAACAAAGCTACCACTTGAATTGAAAAGCCCTCTAAACCTGCTGTCGAGTGAGTCTAGAAAATAGGTCAAAATAACTTGTTTCTAATCACTGTCTACATTGTGGCAGGTGAGAAACGCAGTCTCTGCAATGAAAGTTTTCTGAACAGCGGTTTACCCTATCCGTAAACCGCCGTTGGTCTCTAAACGTTGTCTCTGCAATCGGCTGTTTAAGTTTAATTTCCACATAATCTATACTTTTCATAGAAATATTTTCTATAATTACACACTTAATTCTAATTACTTATAAACTAAAAATCTGCTTTACTATGTTTGTTTGTTGTTTAAGTTATGACAACACAACACTTGTGTGATCTGCCTGGGGAGGATGTCTTCCAAGAGATCTTTTAAAGGAAAACTGGCCCCCCTATTTAGGCATTACAGATGTGGAGAAAACCTGGAAAACTCCATGTGGCCAGCCCGTTGAACGAGGCACAAATCCACGACCAAAATCCCAGTATTCAGGGAACGAAGACTGCTTGACCACTGGTGGACCGCTTTACTATGTTAAAAGTTACTCATCAATCACATGTATGTTTATAATGGAGTAAGGAAGTCAAAGTCTGAGCATTATTTTCTTTTCAGACTTTTTTGTTTTAAGGATGGATACTCCTAAGAAATCCCAAAATATACTAAATTCAAAATTAAGACCAACAAATATTTATTTAGATTAGTGACTGATCTCATAATGCTTAAATATGTAAATATGGTAGTGCAGAATTATACTTGTAAGCAGATAAAAGACAATACACTCATTCAACAGTGTGTGAAGCTCCTGAAAGAGACTGCCTTTCTTGAAGTGAATTGTCTGGCATTCTTTTGATAAAGCAATCAATTCATAAGAGGTGTATTTTTTGCTTTTTATTTTTGATATTGGTGGAGATTTAATTAATTGTAAATGTTTTCATTAATTATTTTTCTACTTAATGTATTAATGATATCTATATTCTACATCAATACAAGCATATAAAAATGTAGAAACTCATAACACAGCACAAAATAGATAATAGTCATTTGTCAATTATGAAAAATTTATAGCAAGTATTCAAATAAAAACTTGCATGCTCAATGCACTGTTTAATTAATTAATATGTTGTTTTATAATTATCAATTTATCAATCAAAGCTTTATTGTACTAAGGAAAAAAATCCTTGTTACAGGTTATTTTATATATGAAAAAAAACCGTAGTAGTTTGTTCTACATCTTGTTGTTTTTTTTTTAAACAAATAATTTTAGCAGAGATAGAAAAAATATACATAAAAATGCTATATTTGCATAACATTAGCTAAATATTAATTCATAACATCATTATCAAATATATTAGAAATCTGGATGAAAGTTATTTAGTTTATACATATCATTTTTTAATAAATTTCCAATTCTTAACATAATTGTTTTATAATTATTAATTAATTAATATCAAACAATTTTCTCATAGAGAATATGTTAAATAAATTTAATTGAAAGTTACAAAGAAAATTTCTTTCAATAAATTTATACTTATCACTGTGAATTCAAATGTGAATTTTTTTAATGATTTAATTGAAACACAATTTAAATTATTGTGTTTCAAATACAAATGATTTGTATGTTTATTTGGCATAAATGGGCAAATAGTTTAAAATAATAATATGTTAAAGTTATATAGATTGTTTTTGGAAAAATTGGCTTTATGAATATACAAATGTCTACAAAAAATTATCAATTTTCACAAATAAGTCAATAATATATACATTTGAATTTATTAAGTTTCACATTTCAAATTGCATTTCTATAATTAAATAAGCAGTAACTTTTTTTATATACTAATTATTTAACACAATAATAATAATTTGTAAAAATGAATAGCATGAAGAAATTCCCAAATTTACTGTTTTGATTAAATTAAACCACAATATAAACTTTTTCATAATTAAATAAAAAAAAATACAAGTCTTTTTTTTTCAAAAAGTCAATCTTTTGAACATTTTCAAGATATCCATTCCATCAACAACAAATTGCATTCTACATTCCAAATATGTAATCATTCTACTTTAACACAACTGTGTCCAATCTAAATATACAGGTTTTAATTTGTTCTTGTTTGGCTAATCATAGTATGAATTGCCATTTCCTGGTTTAGAAAATTATTTTTTCATATTTTATGCATACTAAAAATTAATAATTTTTTTATATTTCATTTTTTCTACATGAAAAAAGGTTTTTTCAGAATTTAACTTATTATAATTATGCAAATTAATATATTCATAAATGTATCATAATAATGTTTATTTTTCATAACTTACAACATTTTTTTAAAAACTATTTGTAAAGTGCCTAGTTTATTTTTATTGACAAACAAAACTAAAAATATCAGTTTATAAATATATTTCAAAAATTATTTCATAAAATGCCTAAATTTATATTTTAAAATAAATATTTACATAGAACAATATTTCTTACAAGAAATGTATTGAAAATTTTAATATTGATAATAGTTAATATTTTCCAGATTAAGAATTCATTCTAGAGACAGAAGCAATTAGGATATAAAAAGCTAAATTTATAATATTTGAATTTTAGAATGCAAGAAATTATTTCAATCATTTTTGTAAAATATTAATTTGGTATTAAGTAATATAGTCATATACTTTAATAAATTATTTTATTCTGAATCTTACTTATACATGATTGTATCCTTATGATCAACTATTTAATCACAATTTACATTTCCATATTACAATATTACATTAACAATACTTTTAAAATATTTCAGAAAGTCGTTAGAATGACTTTATGAATTATTTTAAAAGTATTTCTAAACAACAGGTTTTTATATCCTGTAGACCTAAATAATTGTTAGGTCTGTAAAATACTTGTTTTTTGTATTTTATACCTAATTTAATAAGGTATAATTGCCTAAAAAATTTGCCAAGGGCCATCCATAAATGATGTCTGCACTGGAAAGAGGAGAGGGTTATGAAAGTTACACAAAGTTGGACAAGGGGGGAGGGGGATTGAGCTTCACTGGATATCCTTTTTTTCCCATTAAGTTTTGTACAGTTTACACATTTTATTATATTTATTTCAAATTTTCTTATATATTTCTTTTTTGAATAGATTTTTTTTTTCAAAATACCTGTCTTGAGCTGCTAGCAAGGGAACTGTAGAATTTTCATTTTTAAACATTATTAGAAAATCAACAATATACTGTATTGTAATGTTGGCCTAAAAATCTTTAAAAAGTTGGTACACTATATGATAGCAAAATCTCTACAAATCCTAAGGAATTTGGGCTATTTAATTCCTGGATGGTATGAAATTTGCAGGTTTTCAATTACTGTACTACTGTACAGTGCATACAATTATATAGAGGGCTACCTGTCTTCTGATTGGAAGACTACTACTTGAATCCAGTATGGGAAGAAAATTCTTAAACATTTAACATATTTAAGTAGGCTGTGATAAATTTATGTACAGTATTTGCATTTTCTGTTAAGATTGTATCAACAAATCTTTGAAAAGAAAATTTAATATTAAAATAGCATAAATCACAAAATTAATATAACCACAGGGTATAGTGGATTATTTCATTATAAGAAAATTCACAAAGAAATCATTGATATGTTAGTCAAATAAAAGTTTAATGCTTATAAGCAGATATTGAGCTCAAAGTTTATAAAAGCCCAATATAATATGATTCAACTCAATGTAATAATTATTCAATAAAAAAATATATATATACATCATTAGTTATTCATATACATTTATTTATTTGTTATTTAGCAATTAATTAACAAATAATTTTGTACAGTCCTTATAAATTATTTGAGAGAGTAAACCTGTTATTTTCAAAACTGAATATTAACTATGTCAAAATAAAATGTGTAATTATTTCAGACATTATTATTCTATTTTAACAGCTATTTCTGAGAGTTTTGAAATAAACTGAATTAATTTTACAAACTCACTCAAATTTTTATATTTTTTATCATCTAATATTTATATAGAACTGTGCAAAAAATATAGTCAACCACTAAGACAAGCTAATTAATTTGCTACATACTATTTTAAATCAGAATTAACATGTAGAAAATTATATATTAATTAAAAACAATCATTATTTTTAATTTATCTTCTAATATTTAGATATGCACTAAGAAAAACATTACAAACTTTACAGTTAATTTATAAAATCATTAACAGCTTAAATTTAAATTAGGAATATTTAATTATAGCTGCACATATTTTATCATCAATTATAAGTTTTTATTATTTTTGAGATTACAATATATAATATATTGGATATATTCTAACATCAAAGTACATTCAATATGTTACAGCCACACTGCTTTTCATTTTAACAATTTTCACTGAACATTATTTTGTGATTATGTTTGTTCATTGTCTATTTTAACAAATCAAAAATTAGTATAGTTGTAGAAATAAATATATCTGCTTTTTTAATGTTTTTAGAATTATGTCTTTTTTTTAAGAAAAGAGTAGTATTTCAAGTAAACTTATAAAAAATTACACTTATTTTACCTTCTCTTTTTTAGGTTTCAGTTACAAGTTACATCCACAGATGCAATGTTCTCTTTTTTAGGTTTCAGTTACAAGTTACATCCACAGATGCAATCCACAGATATATTTCCTTCTTCCATTACAAACTATTTTGAGCATGCTTGTACAGTATTTGTATCAGCAAATTAACCTTTATATATTTCTACTTAAATTAGATATTACATCTAAAATTAATATATTTGAAGGTGCAGTACTATTAAATATATTTGAAAATTAAATACAAAATATTATATATCAGGAGTGGGAAGCAAGAGTTCAGTGGGAGTCGAAATGTAGGTTTTGCAAAATGAATGGGAGCCGCAGTTCTGTACCGCAATTTTATTATATAATATAAATATAATATAAAACAAATATTGAATTTTTTTAATAATAAACACATTTTCACAAAATTGTGGAAACAAAATTGTAAAAATAATAATAATAGAAAGCAGAAATTAACATTTTCAGCAAGAGCCACATGTAACTCAAAAAGAGCCACATTTGCCCATGTCTGCTATATATCAATCTAGTTACAAGTATGTTATAGTTATAAAAACTGAAACAAAATATCAAATCTTAAAGATCAACACATTCACAGTTTACAAAATACATGCTTCATGTATAATAATTTTCCTAAAATTAGGTCACTCTTATTTCATTACTATTCCAAAACATTATACAGTAGAACCTCGATTATCCGCCCTAATTGGGGACTGGGGTTGGTCGGATAATTGAAAAGTCGGATAACCGAAAAGTATGAAAAAATCCATTATTAGTGTAGTATATTATTATATCCCATGTAATTAGTATATTAGTATATCGCTATTAACCTATTTTGCGTTGAATTTTCATCGATGTTAAGCCTAACAAAAATTTTTTAAAATAATAATCGTCGCTATTGTA